AATGAGGGAACTGACTCTCAAAATGTGGGAATTGACTCTCAAAATGAGGGAGTTGACTCTCAAAATCTGGGAACTGACTCCCAAAATTTGACCCTGAAAAAAATGTGGGATTCAACTCTCAACATTTGACCCTGAAAAATGTGGGAATCGACTCGCAAAGTTAATTCCCACAAATCAAATCCCCCTTTTTCCAGTCTCAAATCCCTCATTTCCAGGCTCAATTTTTTTTCCAGGCTCAATCCCCTCATTTCCAGCCTCAGTCCCCTCATTTCCAGGCTCAAATCCCTCATTTCCAGGCTCAAATCCCTCATTTCCAGGCTCAATTTTTTTTCCAGGCTCAATCCCCTCATTTCCAGCCTCAGTCCCCTCATTTCCAGGCTCAAATCCCTCATTTCCAGGCTCAAATCCCTCATTTCCCAGCTCAAATCCCTCATTTCCCAGCTCAAATCCCTCATTTCCTGGCTCAAATCCCTCATTTCCCATCTCAAATCCCTCATTTCCCATCTCAAATCCCCCTTTTCCCGGCTCAACCCCCCTTCCAAGCCGCTCCCAAGGGCCGAACTGAGCCATTCCCACATGGAACACCCTCACGAGCACCTCATTCTCCTTCCCCACCCCTTTCCCAACTCTTCCCCACCTTTCCCTCTGGTCCCCGGGGCGGTTGTGGCGCATTCCGGAGCGGGAATTCCCTGGAGCCGGGTTCGGATGAGGGCGGCCACGCGCTCCGTCTCCTCGCGCCGCGTGCAGTAGACGATGATGGAATCCAGGGCTCCGAAACGCTCCCCCCCCAGCAGGGAAACCAAGGCCTGCGGGACCACAACGGCACCGAATTCCACAAAAAGATGGAAACACAAGGAATATCCTCCTTAAATCCCGGGGTTCCCCCATCCCGACCTCGTCGCGGTCGCGCTCCATGGACACCGAGAGGAGCAGGTTGGGCGGCACCGCGGCCAAGCGCGCCGGAGCCTCTTCCCCCGCCGGGATCCCCAAGTGCCGCGCCACGTCCCGAGCCGTGGCCGGAGTGGCCGTGGCCGTCAGGCCCAGGAAGCAGCGGATGCCCAGGCGATCCCGCAGAACCTGCCAGGGAATCCGGAGGGAAACATTCCAGGGGAGAAAAAAACGATCAGGAGTGTGGTGCTTGTTCCACATCCCCATGGGGGTTGTCCCACAGTGATTGTCCCACATTCTCACGGTGATTGTCCCCTATCCCCTGTGGGTTGTCCCACATTCTCACGGTGATTGTCCCTCATCCCCTGTGGGTTGTCCCCCATCCCGTGGGGTTTGTCCCCCATCCCCACAGGGGTTGTCCCCACATCCCCAGAGTAGTTGTCCCCCATCCCCTGTGGGTTGTCCCCCATCCCCTGTGGACTGTCCTCCACCCCCTGCACGTTGTCCCTCATCCCCTGTAGATTGTCCCCACCCCTGTGGGTTGTCCCCCATCCTGTGGGGGTTGTCCCCCATCCCCTGTGGGTTGTCCCCCATCCCCTGTGGGGGTTGTCCCCCATCCTGTGGGGGTTGTCCCCCACCCCCTGTGGGTTGTCCCCCACCCCCGTGGGTTGTCCCCCAATCTCCTGTGGGTTGTCCCCCACCCCTGTGGGTTGTCCCCCACCCCCTGTGGGTTGTCCCCCACCCCCGTGGTTGTCCCCACCTTGCAGATGCGCAGGTAGGAGGGTCGGAAGTTGTGTGCCCACTGGGACACGCAGTGAGCCTCGTCCAGGCAGGCGAAGGCCACGGGTGGGAGGCGATCCCGGCCCCCCAGGAATCCCGATCCGGATCCGGTGCCGCCCACCAGGGCCTCGGGAGACACGAGCAGCACCTGCGCCTCGCCCGCCCGCACCTGAGGGGACAGCGGCCATTCTTGAGGTAAAATCCCTATTTTTAGGAGGTGATGTTCATTCTTATGGACAAGATCGGAATTTTAGGGAGCAAAATCTCATTTTTGAGGCGAAATCCCTAATTTTCCAGGCCAAAGTCACATTTTTGGATTCAAATCTTAATTTCTTGGGGGGAAAAGAATTACATTTATAGGGTCTAAACACACATTTTTGGGGGCCAAATTCCTCATTTTCTGGGGCCTAAATCCACATTTTCAGGCCCAAACCTTAATTTTTCTGTGGGAAAACAAAACATTTTTAGGGTCTAAAATCTCATTTTTGAGGCCAAATCTCTCATTTTCCAGGCCCAAATCCAGCTTTTTCAGCTGCAACCTTAATTCTTTCAGGGAAAAAAAAGTCCCATTTTTAGCATTTAAAACCTTGGTTTTTTGGGAGAAATCCTTCACTTTCCAGGGCAAACCCCACATTTTTAGTGTCTAAACTTCAGTATTTGAGGAAAAGCCCCTCATCCCGAATCCATACTTTTAGGTTAAAACGCCCATTTTTAGGCAGCAAATCCGAATTTTGGGGTCTGAGCTCCCATTCCTGAGGCCCAAACCCTCCTCCCTCCTCCTGAGGGGAGGAGATGGCGGCGCCCTCACCTTCTCCAGGACCTTTTCCCGCTGGGCCTTGGACATGTTGGAGTGGACGCAGACGGCCCTCAGGCAGGGCGGGAGCCCCGACACCTGCGAGGTGGGGACGTTTTAAACATCTCCCGGCGTTTTCCAGGCGGGAATAAGGCAGGAAAAGCTGAGGGGAGCGTGGGGGGGGGACCTGGTCGTCCATGAGGGAGACGAGCGGCGACACGACGAGGGTGAGGGCGCGGCGGTGCCGCCGGTACAGCAGGGCGGGCAGTTGGTAGCACAGCGATTTACCCAGCCCCGTGGGCAACACCACCAGTGTGGATAACCCTGAGGGGAAAAGGGAGACAAAAAACGGGAATGTCCAGAAGCTCCAAAGCTGGGAAAAGAGGGCGGGAAGAGGAGAAGGGGGATCCAACCGCAGAGGATCCTCATGACGGCCACGGCTTGGCCCGGGCGGAACGAGGCGTAGCCCAACTCCCTCAGAGCTTCCAGCACCTCCTCCGGCGGATCTGCGGGATGGAAGGTATGGAGATGACGGCATTCCAAGGGATAATTCCCACCTGGAGTGGCTCCTGGCCCTACCTGGCACTGCTCCATCCGTTCCCAGGCTGTAAAGAGGCTCCACGGGCGCCGGAAAAGGGTCCGGAGTGAACTCCGGCCTCCGCGTATCCAGGGATGGAGGCGCTTCCAGGGAGTCGGAGCCGCTCCCTGGCAAGGATGAGGGAGAAAGAATTGGGATTTATAGCAATCCTTTCCAAATTTGGGTTGGGAGGCTCCGAGCGAGGGTTTTTTGGGAGGCGAAATCCACAGTTTTAAGGAGGAAACGCCACGTTTTCAGGGGCGAAATCCACATTTTTAGGGCATGATGTCAATTTTTAGGGAAGAAAAATGACATTTTTAGGGGAGAAAATGACATTTTCAGGGGAGAAAATGACATTTTTAGAGGAAAACAATGATATTTTTAGGGGAAGAAAATCACATTTTTCAGCTCAAACCCCACATTTTTGGAGTCAAGCATATTTTAGAGTCTAAAATTTCATTTTAGAGGTCAAATTCCTCGTTTCCAAGGCCAAAATCCTAATTTTTAAGGTCTAAACTCTTCATTTTAGGGCCAAATCCCTCAGTTTTAGGATCCAATCTCCTTTTTTTTAGGGCAAACCCCCTCAATTTAAGGACTGAATCCCTCCTTTTTATGGTTCAGTTTCTCTCAGGATAAAAAGCTCCATTTTTTGGGCCCAACCCCTCCCTTTTAGCCCCCAAATCCCTCCTTTTCAGCCCCCAAATCCCAACTTTCCAAGCCCAATCCCTCCTTTTTAACATGGGAATCTCTTCCCTCCAACCCTGTCCTGTCCCCTCACTGGAGATTCCCGGGAAAATGCTGTTGGTCCTTCGTGCCACTTCTTCCAGAGTGGGAAGAGGATCTTCCTCCTCCTCCTCCTTGGGATCATTTTCTGCTGGGAATGATCCTGAATCCCTCCCTGTGTGTGGAAAACGGGATCATTCCCCCACTGTGGGGGGAATCCAGGACTGTGTCCCATGGGATGAGCTCATCCTGGAGCTCCATCCAGGACTGTGTCCCGTGGGATGGGCACCCCCTGGAGCTCCATCCAGGACTGTGTCCCGTGGGATGGATCCCCCTGGAGCTCCATCCAGGACTGTGTCCCATGGGATGAGCTCATCCTGGAGCTCCATCCAGGACTGTCCCCACTTCAAGCCATTCCCATCCCTGCAGATGATCCATCCCTGAGCCATTCCCATCCCTGCAGATGATCCATCCCTGAGCCATTCCCACCCCTGCAGATGATCCATCCCTGAGCATTCCAACCTTATCCCAGCTCCCCAATCCTCGGCTGCTTTTCCCGCTCTCTCCTCCGTTCAGGAGAGACAAATCAGGATCAACCCCCCCGGGAACACCCCCCCCTTTACCTCCCACCCCTCATCCCTGACCTCCTCTCCCTAAAATCCCCTCCAAGGATCTTCCCAGCTCCCGGAATTCCCAAGCTGACCTGGACATTGTGCCGCCCAGTGTCCGGCGTTCCCGCAGCGGAAGCAAACTCCGGATCTGCCGCCCCCAAACCGCTCTGACTTCTTCCTCCACTTCTCCCTCCACACCTGGCAAGGACGATCCTGTGGCCCATCCGTGTGGGGGAAGCTCCCCCTGGAGATTCCCAGGGAATTCCCAGGCTTTACCTGCTTCCGGAGGCTTTTTCCCCGCAGGGAGAAGCGGGTGTAGCTTTTCCTCCTCAGGTTGAGCCTCACGAAATTCCCGCCACTCCGGGGGGCGGATCTGAGGGAAAACAGGGATGAGGGGACCCCATCCCCTCCTTCAGGAGGTTTGGGAATCTCCACATCCCGGGCCTGCACCGGGAGTTGGGAAAAGTCGGGAATCACCTGGGTTTGCGGGGGGGTTTGGGCTTTTCCTGCTCCTCTTCTTCCTCTTCCCAGAGGTTTTCCAAGCGTTCCGGCGTCTTCCTGCTCCCCTCTGGAGCTCCCACCTGCTTTTCCTTGTGCTCCTCTTTCTTTTCCAGGAGGTTTTCCAAGCATTTCGAAGTCTTCCTCCTCTTCTTTGGAGCTTCCATGTGCTTTTCCTGCTCCTCCCGTTGCTCTTCCAAGATGTTTTCCAAACGTTTTGGAATCTTCCTCCTCTTCTTTGGAGCTTCCACCTGCTTTTCCTTGTCCTCTTGTTGCTTTTCCAGCCTGTTTTCCAAACAATCCTGTTTCTTCCTGCTTTCCTTTGGAGCTCCCCCCTGCTTTTGCTTGTGCTCCTCTCCCTCTTCCAGGGTGTTTTCCAAGCGTTCCAGGGTGTTTTCCAAGCATTCCAGGGTGTTTTCCAAGCGTTCCAGGACGTTTCCCGACGTCTTCCCGCTCTCCTTTGGAGCTTCCCCCTCCTCTTCCTCCTCCCTGTTCCTCTTCATCCCAAACTTTCCCTCATCCAGGTCCCGGTGGTGCCTCTGGAGCTTTTTGGGAGCGTCCCCATCACCCCCAACATTCCCACCAGGCCTTTTCCAGGTGGGAATCTCATCCTTCCTGGGAATTTCCTGGCACCTCTGGAGCCAGGCGGGATCCAGCGATCCCAAAGTCTGGGCCACCCTCTCCTTCAGCCGCTGGAATTTTTGGGGAGCAGGAGGAAGGGGGGGTTTCACTGCCGAGTTGAGGATGAGGGGGGGCAGTCCCGACAGGGAGGGAGGGAGGAGGAGAGTTCCAGAATCTCCGGGATCTCCGGGATCATCTCCACAATCCCTGGAATTTCCAGACTCTTCCTCACCCCCTGTGGGCTCCGGTTGTGTCCGGAATCTGGGAATAGCCGGGATCCTCCTGGGATTTGGGGTCCTGTGAGGGGTCAGGGGGGGCTCCTGTGGGAAAGGGGGAAGGGTCAGATCCCCCCTGGAATTCCAGCTTGGAAAGAGAGGGATGAGATTCTGAGGAGGGGCTCCCATTTTGGGGGGTCCCTCATTTTGGGGGTCCCTGGTATTTGGGGTCCCTGATTTTGGGAGGGTCTCTGATTTGGGGGTCCCTGATTTTGGAGTCTCTGATTTTGGAGGTCCCTGATTTGGGGGTCTCTGGTATTTGGGGTCCCTGATTTTGGGGATCTCCAATTTGGGGTCCCTGATTTGGGGGTCTCCAATTTGGGGTCCTTGATTTTGGGGGTCTCTGATTTTGGGGATCCCTCATTTTGAGGTCCTTCATTTTGGAACCTCTGACTTTGGGGGTTCCTGATTTTGGGGGTCTCTGATTTGGGGAGGTCCCTGATTTTGGAGGTCTTCAATTTGGGGGGACCTCATTTTGTGCAATCCCTGATTTGGGGGGTCTCTGATTTTGGGATCCCTCATTTTGGGGGTCTCTGATTTTGGGATCCCTCATTTTGGGGGTCCCTCATTTTGGGGGTCCCTGATTTTGGGGGTCTCTGATTTTGGGGACCCCTCATTTTGGGGGTCCCTCATTTTGGGGGTCCCTGATTTTGGGGTCTCCAATTTGGGGGGTCCCAGAGGCCACAATTTTGGAAGGGGGGGGTTCCAAACTCCCCAAGATCTCCCAGAGCAGCTCCCCCTCCCCTCCCCCCCCCAATCCTGACCTTCCCAGTGGTTCCCAGTTTGGATTTGAGTTTCATCCCATAAAACTGGGCCGACATTCCCGACCCACTCCGGCTCTTCCCGGGAATCTTCGGCTTCCGGTTCAGGTGGGAACCCCAAAATCCCGAATCCTGCAACCAAAAACCCCCAGGAATGTTGAAGATCCCAGAAAATGGGAATCCTGGCAGGAAAACAACCTGGGAGAGCATCCCATGGGATATTTTGGGATGAAAACACCCCCAAATCCCACTTTTCCACCCCCAAATCCCCCTTTCCCTCCCCCAAAACCCTTTTTCCCACCCCCAAATCCCAATTTTCCACCCCTAAATCTCCTTTTCCACTCCAAATCCCATTTCCCACCCCCAAATCTTCATTTCCCACCCCCAAGTCCCCTTTCCCATCCCCCAATCCCCCTTTTCCACCCCTAAATCC